TATAATATTAATAATATTGAATTTACTAACCTTAATTTAAATAATAAAAAAATTCTTATACTAATAAATAAGAATTTTAATACTAAAATATTAATACTAATATATTATTTTATTACTAATTTTTAGAATATAGAAATACTAATTATAAGCTAATACTTCCCTATATTATTATTAGAAATAATCTAGCCTTAGCTTATAAAATTAAACTATTTCTAATTATTTAATATTTTTAAATAATTTATATATATAATTTCGGGACTTAGATTTATTTTAATAGCTATATTATAATATTAGAAGAAATAAGTTAAAGGTTCTATAGCTTTTAGTAATACTAATAATTTAATAACTAAATATTATTTTATATTTAAGATAAATAATTTTAATCTTAATTTAAAAAAAGATATTTTATATTCTTTATTAGATATAACTAAAAACCTTTCTAATTTAACTAATTATTATAATCTAATAAATAATAATTCTTCTAGTTTTACTTTTATATTACTAGTTACTAAAACCCTTTTATTTAATAAAAAATAGTATCTTATAATAAAGAAAGTTCTTATAAGTATTTTATTCTAAGCTAATTATATTTATAATTCTTTTAAAAAAAAAATTCTTTATATTAGAAATAAAAATAGAATTAATAAAAGCTAAGTTATTAAAAGTATTATTACTAATATAAACCTTATTAGTTATAAAGATAAGATTATTCTTATAATATCTATTATATATTTCTAGATATAAGTATTAATAAAACCTAAAAAGCAATTATAAGTTCTTATATTAAAAGGCTTTAGGTTAAGAAAACTATTATAATTATTAATAAGATTAATATAATAAATTTAAATATATTTAGTATAGTAAATTATTAATATAAAATTACGAAATTCTTAGATTAGAGTTTATTAAATCTCTTTAATAAGTTATTTATTATATTTCTAATAAGGAACTTTTACTAATTCTTACTTATTAGAAGGCTAGTATTATAGTAAGAACTATAATAAAGAAATAATACTAATATAAATATATAACTAATCTAGTATTAGTTTATAAATATTATTATATTTAACTAGTAAATATATTAAATAAAAGATTCTATATTTTATAATTTATTAACTTAAATAAGAAATACTATACTAATAAAAGATAATTTAGCTCTCCTAAATAGTAAAACTATTATATTTCTTATAATACCGGAACTAGAAGAAATAATAGTAGTTATTAAAATAAATACTTTTTATTATTATATTAATTATATTTAAATAAAATACTTTACTAGATTCCGGTTCTAGAAAATTTATATCTTTCTAGCTTTCTATAAATAAACTAAATCTACTAGTTATACTAATCTATATTTATATATAAATAACTTACTTTAATAGCTGAACTAGAATACTAAAATTTTCTTTTTAGGCCTATTTCTTTATATTCTAGACATGTCTATAATTATTCTAACTAATATTTATATTATACTAAAACAGGTAAATAGTAAATATAGTATTATTATAGATATAGTAATTAATCTAACTAGTATATTTCTTTCTAGAAAGTATATAAAATAATCTAATCTTAATACTATTAGTAAAATTCTTTAAAATAAATAATTTCTATATTTTTTATATTAAATCTCTCGCTTGTATTTTATTTAAACTATATAAATTAAAGTAATTCAAATTTAAAAACCTAAAAGTATTTATTATATTTATATTTCTATTAGAGAAGTTTATTACCCTAAAAGAATATTTTATTTAAAAAAGGCAAGTACTAATATACTTAGCTTTTAGTCTAATAAATTATAAAATCTAGGAATTAATACTTATAATAGTAATTCTTAATTTTAAAAATAATCTAGCTTCTAAAATACGGGACTATTATAAGAAATATTATTCTATATATATATAACTATTTTAATCTTAATTTCTAAATAAACTCTATTTCTTATAAAAAATTAAAATAAGAAATCTCTAGTTTTTTCCTAATTATTAATTACTAACTAAGATAAAATAGCTTAAAGAACTATAACAGGAAATTATAATAATATAGAATATAATAATCTAAATTATATAAGTATTTATTATTCTAGAATATTTAAAAGCTACTAATAACTTATAATTCTTCTAATAAAAATGTACTAATAATATATGAAATATTTATTTCTAATTATAAAACTTATAATTATAATATAAAGTTAAAAAGTTAAGAATTATAAATAAATTAACTAATAAGAATATAGTAATAGAATATAGGATATTTTAATTTAATTTAATTTCTATATTATATAGTATAAGATATAGTTTAGAAATAAAGATTTCTTATTTCAAATTATATCTATTTAATTCTTAGCTTTTATAAAAGTCAAGCAAATAGTAATATATATAAAATAAGCTTTAATATTAGAATTATTTATAAAGAATATATAATATATTATATCTCTTTCTATTTTACTTCTATAAAATTAAAGAAAATAGATATTTTATAATTATCTTAAGAATAATAATTATTATATTATCTAATTATACTAATTAAGTATTCTATAATATTAACTCGAAATACCTATATTTCTAAATCGCTTTCTCTTATTAATAACCCTACTAATTCTATAAGTAATAGAAATAAATTAATTAAGTTAATTATATATTTTTTTATTTCTTTTCTCTAGCTAACTAATACTAATATTATATCTAGTATAATAATTGAAATCTATTTTAGAATCTATTTCCGAAGCTAAAATATAATTATTTCCTTTTTAAATAATATAACTAATATAAATATTACTAATTATATATAAGTAAATAATTCATCTAACTATACTTTATATTATAATATATTAGAGAACCCAATATAGGTACTTCTATAATTAGTTAGAGATATTAATAAGTACTTTTTAAAAACTATAAATAAATATTAAAATTAAATAATTAATATTCTACTATTAGCCGAGATAGATAAAGCCCTAAATAAATTACTTAAGACTAGTTTATAAAATGTATTTACGAAACTAAATTACTACTTTATACTTAGAACTAAAGTAATTCTAGAAGCCATAAAAAACAATCTTTGAAATAATAATAATAAAGGCTTTATATTTCTTAGATATACTATTACTATAAATAATCCGTTCTCATATATATATAACTGGTTTATAATAATTAAAAACGGTATTATACCGAATACCGGATTTAATATATATAACTTTAGTAATTAAGCTTCTATAGTAATTGAATTATCTATATTAGGATATTAAATAAATAGTAAAGAGCCGGATTACTTATTTAATATATATAGGATATATTATCTTAGAAGCTCTTTATATAATATAATAATAATACTATCTAAGAAATATAAGGCTAGTTATATTATAAGTTCAAGACGACAGAAAGCGGGAGTTTTTAAAGCAGATATATTAAATCTATTACCGGATAATTGAACCACAACTACTTTAGTATAGTAGTTCTTAACTAACAAAATCTATTTGTACTATAGACTGGTATATATCTGGGCAATGACCGAAATATAAAGGAAGCGTAATATTCATTATTTAACTTTCTATTTTCTTTTACTACCCTGACCAGAAAAAGCGGGACATACGGGGGAATTACAAATTCTATTAGCTTTCACATCCCAGCTTTTATAAACTCTATTCACTCTTTGTCATCACAAACCATCTGCCGATTCCTAAATGATATGCTTTCTCATTTGCTGATCTAATGTCATTACAAATCACAAATCTTGTGCCTCCAAGTCAGCTGATTTTAGTCGTGTGCGAATCACGTGTGCACCCAGATCAGCTGGTTTCAGGGCTTCGGCGTGCGCAGCGCGCGTCCAGTAAGGGTCTAACTTTCCCGCCAGCAGGAGACGCAGGGATGTTTTGCGCTGCACCGTTTGCCGCGTTGACTAGCAAAGGCCTTTAGGTTTTGTGACTCACTCACGTGAGATGACCTAACTTCAACGAAGAGCTTGGCCTGGCACGTGCCTTGAACTCAAACACACGCTACTAACGTCCATCCCTACGTGCCGAAAAACAGTTGGAGATTGGAAGAAGAAGTGATAGTAGCATGCTTGATTGTAGAAGCTGGCTGTCTAGGTGTTCTTATATAGACAATAGACTGTAGCTGCCTGGTAGGCAGCCAGACGTGATCTGGGATCCAACTAAAACCCTGCGTGCCGAAAAGACTGCATGGTTTGAGGGTCTTAAATCTCCACCACATAAATATATAAAGTTATAATCAGTTTGCTATTGTTCTTTAGCTATTTCTCTACAAGGGCTCGACTTGCAGTCAGAAAAATACTACAGTTTGGCTATGCTATCGATCGTCCTATTGAGAACGTCAAAAGCTGCTGTAGCTATTACCCCCTGCTCTATTATGACTATCGACCTGTCCCCAAAATTCGGGGCCGTGGCATAGAGCCTCTATTGAGTTCAAATATTGTTGAAACCTCAGGCATCAACTCCACATTCTGTATATATAAGGGAGCCTTGCTCCCACCATTGCTCAGGATCCAATTTATGCTCTACCTACATTTTTAACAATCAGATGGTGACTATACCTAATCTGGAAGTCACATGAGGACTTAGACCAAATGGGGTAACATGATCGGATAACATGACCCCATTATGTAATCAACCCTAAGCGATCCTCTTAAAATAGCCTGAGCTCGCTGAGGTAAAAGAGAATAGTTATCCCTTCGTCCGGTAGAAACTGTCCACGCTAGCAAGGGGGGCCTGGCTCAGGGCGAAAACGTGTGCCTTTGCTTAGAAACCTATTAGTCATCTATCGCCTTTTCGCCCTGAGCCAGGCCCCCCTGCTAGTGTGGACAGTTTCTACCGGACGAAGGGATAGAATTGGCTCACGTGACCGCAGGCGGGGGGTCGGAGTGGGAAAAAGCTGCGCTTCAACGAACATGACTTCCACCAGAGAATCTTCGAGATTCCTATTGGTGCACCCCCTTTTACACCGCCGCAAATATCTCCACCTTGGTTCATTCAGGGGGGGGGGGGGGGGGGACGGGAGCGGCTTGGGAAGTGCGTTCATTTGGCCCCATGGCTCCATTCGGTCACCGTAACTTCCATTTTCGTTTTGACCCATATGCAGTAACGTGGACCTCTCGGCCGTCCAACGAAGCCATTCACCATGCGAAGACTCGAGGGGAAAAGCCCCAAGATGATCAGCCGCAGTGAGCTCGAGTCGGGCATACCATCGATGACCCTTCCGCGTGTGACACCACCCCGAAGCAGAGCAAGGGCATATGCATCGATCTCAGCTCTCTGAAGCCTCCTCAAGTGTTGGGTCTTCATTCAAGATCTTTTTTGTGTGCAATCTCCAACCTGATAGTTCTGACGATGACCCAACCTTGTGCGCGTACGTTGTTGATTGTTTTCTTGACTTTGACAGGTACTAGCAATGCTGCCGCTGTGGGCAAAGCTGTGAGAGAGCCGGTTGCCCTAAGTAGCAGAGCCGACGTCAACCTGACTCTTCTCAACAATGCGACATCTATTGTACAAAGCTTGGATTTCACGGCCAACTGCACTTTATCCATATCATGGTATAAGAATCTTCCCACGAGTGGAGCCGGCTCCGGGAACGACACGATTAACATTGACTTTTTACGTTCCGCTTTGCCAACCGAGTACCAAGACGAGAGTAACGACCAAATCTCAAGCTTCTACGATGATATGTCATCTGGGTCCCTTTCTAGTCTCGGATGGATAGTTACTGCGAAAGACGATATTGAAACCGCTTGTATTACTCCGCAATTCGAGAAACAGATATCACTCTCGAACCTTAACGCGACACAAAACTGCACTGCAACAGCGAGATTCTTAAGCAGCCTGGGTTGGATTACCGGACCCCATACTTATACTGCTAATACCTCGAACAACACTTTATGGCTCGAATTCTTAAGCGCTGCTCTTCCGCTAGCGGATCAGAACCTCACCGACCTCGAATTACTCGTTTATCGCAACTACTTTTTGGCTTCTGAGAATGCTGTAAATATCACGGACTATCTCGAGGCAGCTGATAGTGCGTGTGAGAATGATATCTGTGAGGTCCAAGGCTACACTGGCAATCCAGACATTGCTGGCATTGGAGTAAGTTTCCGACCTCAAAATTCCTATGCAGGATGTACAGCGCTGATCTGCAATCCAGGTAATCATTTCATACACTGTTGAGGCTGCTCTTATCACAATATACTTCGTCGCCACTAACTTCTGTCACTCGACGTTGCATAAAAGGGTTACAAATGCCCTCGAAAAGGCGTCAGACGAGCTCTCAGACGGAGCACTCTTCTTCTCACTATCTATCAGCACCGCTGGATGGGTATCTCTCGTCTCCGGGACATCATATTACGAAAAGCTCGTGTTCACCTCCGCCAACGTTCTCGCGCTCAGTGCTCTCTTCGCTTTCCTTGGCATGTACACCGAAGAGGGTGGAGAGAAACGAGGGCGGTGGATTCCGTCTTTCATGATATTTGCGATACTGGTAGAAAGCGCGATTCAATACATCGTTTATCTGACTCAATCAGATACCAAGTATGACGACTATGCTTGCCTGCATCCAATGTTGCAAGCCGATAGCTACAATCCTACGGTTTTCGAGGCTTTATTCTTTGTTTTATTAGGGTTGTCGGTTATTGCTGCTTTCGTTGGAGCCTTTTGGTTAGGCTTCAAAACCACGGAGAAGGGGGAGAAGATCAACGGAGCGGTCGAAAACGTGATCATTTACACACGGATCTTCGTCCAAATCGTGGCTATTACTGTCATGTGGGTTGAGCTGGTCTACCTCTGGAAGATCCGCAACATCATGTCCGGGATTGCGGGAGCAACCTGGAGCGAGGGAGCATGGGGCTTTGGTCAGATTCTTGCGCTCTTCATCTGGTTCCCTCCAGTCATTGATATACTGGGGAATTTGAGTAAGCTTGAAGCGTTCCTTCATGTATGATAAATACGAGTGTGACTAATTTTGCGTAGTCCTACCGCCCTGCATGCTCCCAAAGGAAGAGGAGAAGTGTAAGTGCGAGGCATTAGGTAAACGAATTTGACTCTGCTTTCATTGACAGCCATTGACACATCGGCAGGCCATACATGCGTTTGTGTGCCGAACGCGGGTCAGGGCAGTGAGAAGGGCAAGGAAGACGGGAAAGCGGGAACAAAAGGAAGTGCCGCGGTTTCTCAGAAGGGCAAGGACGACGAGAAAGCGGAAATAAAGGCAAGTGTCGTGCCTTCTGCGAAGAGCACTTAGTCAGACGGGAAAGATCTATGTTCAGAACGACGGGAAGTACGGTAATGGTAGTTGGCGACACAGTTTTCCGAGGTATATTGATTGATGGGATGCGATCATTGACAATTCGAAGCGGATAATTGAAACGTGTTGGTTGAACAGATTGAACTTTTGAATCGTTAATAAAAGCTTGTGTCATTCCTCTTATTACCAATGTCTAAACATGGAAACCCACAGGGTGAGTGGTGGTTAATTGAAGTGGTCAAGAATATAATGCGTTGTAAATTTGGTGCTGCGACGCCCAAGTATTTAGTGTTCCTTCAGTGGTGCGTTGCTAGAAATTTGGCGACAGGAGCCCTCACCAACAAGCGCAATGGCTTGGCTGGCGATGGGGAGGTGTCCCAGATCTTCATGACTTCCATCTCCATGCATGGAACCTTGCCACAGTTGCGTCGGCTGTGCAGCTCATGTCCTTTTTCCGACACCAATACAATCAACAACTTGAGAGTCCGACATTTTGAAGGGCAGGACAATGTCCTAACTTTGGAGGCACTTTGAAATCGAGTTTTTCTTTAAGGATCGTTTGATGAGTCTTCCGGGCCCAAGCTTGCTTAAGGAGTTAAGTAATGCAATGTTCTCAATTTGTTACCTCAATGTCCTTTACTTTTTGGTACTTTGGCATATCGCTTTTTGATGTCATCGCGAGCTAACTTGTATCTTTTCACATGTGCTGGTAAACGAGATGTAAGAAGAGAATGTTTTTTTATGTTTTTTTTACTTAACTATCTATTATGTTCATCATTACCATTAAAGTTGTGAGTAAAGAGATGCCTCCACTTGATTAACTATATCGAGTTCCATTCCGGACACCTTCCACGTAAATTCAGAGCAATTGCTCCAGAAGTAAAAGCTTAGCCACTTCACATTATCAAGGTCGCAACCATAGTCGCAGCAATTGCAACACCAGCAGCCACAAAGACCTTCAACTCTAGAAACTAGACGTAGACTCGCCTGATCAATCACATGTGCAACACCATTGCTGAGAATAGTATTCGACGAAATAATCTTCGCACCGTTGACATAATATACTCCATTCTTGATTGAAATTGTGAGTGTTTCATTCGCCAACGTCTGATACACAGCGCCATCAGTCAGCACAGGCAGGTATCCCAGGAAGTTGGGAATGACGTGGTTGGAAAGCAGATTCGGAAGCGTCGCGGCATTACTGTTATAATTAGCAGCAGCAGCGAATGCAGCGTTGTTGGGAGTGAAGATGGTCACGCTGTCTGCAGCATCGAAGGTGTTTGAGAGATTTGCGCGGTTGAGAAGGGTACCGAGGGCGGAAAGGCCGGTGGAGTTAACGGTTGTAGATAGTGGCGATGGAATGGTGAAGAATCTAGAAACAAGTCAGCGTCAAGAACCCTCACGTTTCGGGACATTGACTTACGAATCAGTAGTATGAATCAGCCCACCGCTGTAAGGAATATCACCGTTAATGATGCCGACACTGTTGCCTAACCCAGAGACCAACTGAATACCAGGATTTGGAACAGTCCTGCGACGCCGGGTCGAGGTGCTGTTCGCAACTGACTTCTGGGAAACGATAACTTGAGAACCTCCCGCCTGCGGGGCAGGAAGTCCTGTCTTAACAACATCACCCGGACTAATTGGAGGTCCAAGAGTTTCCAGCCCAGTCTAGAAACGAGCAATCCCGGAGTCAGTATGCCTCCTTCGCACATATGGGGGATAGAGTTGCATGTCTTGGGAGTGGCGGGACATATTTATCTTCGCGTGTCTCAAACGTCCTAGAAGCAACGAGGAAAGGAAAATATTGCTCCGAGAGTGACTTACCAATGTGTTGCTATACTGGTACTCGTAGTGCTGCTGAGTGTTGTTGGCAGCTCGACGTTGGAGCACATTAAAGTAGGCATCCGTTGGGGCAAAGACAGTCTGTACGGCCGAGGAATTGTATACTGCGAGTATGCTAGGATTTGCTTGGAGGAACTGGGCGAACTGGGTAGCGTTGTTGGCCGCGAGAGCATCGAGGAGGGACTGGGCGTGCGTAGAGATGCTGAAGAGGACAACAGCCAAACGGTGGAGGGCTGCATGATTGTCGATGTTCTAAAGACGGCGGGGCGACGACAGACTCAAAAACTTAACTCAACGAATGTGATACTCGACGATTTGATAGACGGATGTAATGACTTTCAACAAGTTGCTAGAAAAGCGAGGGACAATGACGAGAGAGCTCTACAGCAAGAAAATCTGGGACCTTCCACATATGTGTATATGCGAAATGAATGCGAATATGGGGTACTCCGGTCAGTATTCTCTTGCAGATAATGACTGAAATGAGAAGCGCCTCCAAGGTCACTTCTGCTCGAATGAGTCGCAACGGAGCATTCTCAATATTGAGCCAAAGGACCACCACGTCCGAGCCTCGAGCCGCGCATATGCAAAGGTGCGGCGATTTCGGGAAAAGATTGGCCTGATGCTTCTCAGCTTCAGGGCGCTCGTAACCTTGCTGCGTTGCGGAAGTACTCATCATACCGCGTATCGGGCAATCACAGGACGAATCTGCGTTGAGGTTGAGATTGATGCTTCTCAGCCCCGAGAATGAGGCGCCATTCCGCCATACAGAGGGTCCGGCAGTGGGGGGGAGGACCCTTGGCACGTCTTGGAGAATTTGACCACACCGTGGTCTGAAGAGGAAGAGACGACGACGGCGCCCGCCACGGTTCAGCCCCGCCGCTACTCTGGGAGTAAATACGGAGGTACAGCCCATAATGATAGTAATAGCGCTAGCAGGGGTCCGAACTTTTTAACCTGGTATCGCAACAACAACGTATTGCAAAAACTTGAAAAAAGGTAGTACTACTATACGGCACTGTTATGGATATTTACAGCGTTTAAATGAACTTTTTATGTTTTGTGTAGTAAAAGTTATCGAGTATTGAATTCACGAGTTTTCTATTGACCCCTGCTAGCGCTATTACTATCATTATGGGCTGTACCTCCGTAAACACCGAGGTGCGGTTTTCAGCTCGGGACATGCGCATGTTGTGTAACACATTTTTGTGCTCATGGGTGGCTATCCCGTCAGCCCCTGCCAAGCCTTCGTCCGCCCCGGCTTTCAGCTGTCCCAGAGGAGCAACTAAAGGCGAAACGGGGCCTATCAAAATACTTCAAGAATCTGGAAGGCGGGATAACAATTCAACATCAGACATGTCGTCGATGTCGAAAAGCACAGTCTGCTAACGCCACAACATGCACCCGCGGGAAAATGAACCCCAAATCCCGTGTAAGGCGGGTTGCGTCAAGGGCACCGCGTCCAACCGACCGCTATTAGCTTAGCTTCAGAGTTGTGAGCTAAATGGTGGTGGTGCTCCGAAGCCGCTTGAAATTCTATACCTCTGAGCGGGCAAGGCGCACAATGCGTGGGAAGAGGCCTCCCTAAAGGCATGCGCGATTCTCGTGTTTTCTGATGGTGTCTGTCTGCTGGAAGTCCGAGTTGCGCGTTGTGGTTTGTGTATCCCGCCGTGGCTCTTAAGAAGCAATGACATTCACTTTCAGGAGTACTGGGCGGATGACGTTGACTAGGATTGGCTTGCATCTTCCCAATGCCTGCAGCTTTGCTGCTTCGTCGAGAATGGTTGTTCAGTGCTCGGGGTGGAGCGGAGCAACTACCTACACCTTACCTTGGCGGCTGCCCTTATTCAGACAGTTTGTACGACCATTCATGCATGATCAAAAGAAAAAATTCGGGTTGCAGGAACGTGCATTCAGTAGTTGAGCTGAAGAGTGCATTTGCTGCATTTGTGGGTTTGATAACAATCCAATCATGCCATCAGGGTCGACGTAGAGCCTCATTGTCCACTAAATGGCTCAGATGACTCCTTCTCCACATGGCTTGCTGAAGGATGCCTGCCTGTTAACTGGCCGGAGACTCGAAACGAGGCGGCCAAAGCCCAGCCTGCATATAATGACTAGGAAATGAGGGTCTAGTTTTCCTCTCATTCGATGCATCTATGCCCAGGGCTGAAAGCGACAGCGCTGTATTGCAGTCTATGTCTCAGCCTCTGAGAGCTGCAATGTACTTATCCAAATGGCGTCCAGAGTTGAAAGTGAGCTCCCTCATCTTTCCTTCACTCATTTTTGAAGCATCATTCAAAACAACGACTGCATTTCAGAGCAAGATGAGCGAAAAAACAGATACCATTAAAGAGGGACCCTCTGCAAGAATAGCCATCGAACCAAGTGAGAAACAGAAGTCCGACATCATCATCACATCATCAGCTTTTATCCCCGGGGAACGTCCCATACCCATCTATTCGGTTATTGAATCTCAATCAAGCCAGGTAAAGCATGCTTGGGGCTGGCTTATAGGAACAATAATCTTCTGTTCATGGACAACTTCCTTTGCATATACTGTCTTTATCAGCGATAAGCCTCTGCCTCGTGCCTACGATTGGGGTTGGTCTCCGGCACTAACAACTCAAATTGTCAACGTTGCTTCTCATGTTGCCGTTATTTTCACTGGTGGCTTGGTCGGCGCAGTTTTCGATGCTCTTTCCTGGTCGCTTGTTTATGGTCGAAAGAGAACAACAATGGGGTCATTCTTGGCTGTTCAGAATAACACTAGCCTAATGGATGTTGGAAGACTATTCATGGTACCAGGCTCACAATGGATATGGTGTATTATGAGGTATGGAGATCTCACTTTCTGTAAGCTCGGCTGACGCGAGACGTATAGGTTTGTCATCATAGGTGTCAGTTTCGTGGTAGGAGTGCTTCTTCTTTGTGAGTTCGCTCCCCAACCTATGCTTTCAAGCTAATATGAGAACTGCTAGCTAATGTAACAACCCAACGAGTCTACTTCGAAGGCCCCTCTTTCCCTGTAACAGCTGGGCTATCTGACGTCCACACATCCGTCTTGGCTCTTGAGAAGCTCAATGTCATTTCCAATACTAGCGCTCCTATCTCTGGCACGAGCGCGGCCACTCTTCAGGAAACAGGCATAAACATGATGATCACCGGGGCCACAAACAGCATATTGACAGACCCTGGTTTTGTTATCAGTGTTGCTCCTATAACCTGCAAATCATCCGATTGCAAATCCCTTTTCCTTCCAGGTGGCATGCAACTTGTACGTTCTAACGGAACTCCTCTCAATACCACGTTGTTTCCAGACGAGTCGGTAATCATCGTCAACAACGCTCATGGATTCCAGTTGGAATACGAGCCCTCAAACTATGTGTTCAACTACACGGCAGACTGCACCATGTATGGATATGACGTCTCGAGTTTCTTTGCTTGCCTTAAGTTTACTGGCGAGAACATCACTGCTGGTGAGTAAATCGATTGCAATTTCCTCACATCGTTGATTCAATCTAATTCTGTAGGCGCTGCGATATGCCCGCCAGCTCAGATGCTTGATGGTTCTTGTATAACCGATCAGAACTATACCAACACGCTCGATGCTACCATTTCACTTGGTCTATACCAACGAGTCGCAACTGTTTCATACGACAAAACCAACTTCTCAATCATAGACGTAAAAAGTATTGACAACTATACAAGCACAACGAGCGAAGAACTGGTGTCAGACTTCCAGAAGATGTTTACGATCATGTACCCTCCACTGTCAAACATTTTCGACGAACTCCTTGGTATTGCCGAACACCCCAGTGAGATCTGGCCCGACCTTGCCTACTGGTCCTCTGTCTTCTGCGTTCAATCTGAACTTACCGCTGCCAAGTGGCTTGAGATCCATGGATTCCCCACTTGGCAAACGGGCAAACAAGATCTGCTCGAAGGCTTGATGGCGATCCCCATCCAATTTGGAACCATGCTGTGGCAATTCGTCGACATCCAAGGTGTTCCCCCTAACCTGGCTACTACCGCAAACTTCTCCACCGTTACATATCGTCCCAGGTCGCCAATCTGGCCCGTCGCGCTCTTCGCCATAATGGCCTTCTGCCTTGTTCTATGGGCCATAGCTTGTTTAATCTACATTCAATTCGCCGGTGATGTTAAGGAGGAGGAGAATCCTCACGTGAAAAACGCTTTCAAGACTGGCAATCCGTACGATGTCGATGATAAAGGGTTCTTTAAGATCTTGTGGATTTTTATCAAGCTGCCGTTTGGTGGGAAAGCCAGGGAGAAGTCGAGAGCTCTTAATCCGGTTGTTGCGAGGAAGGTTAAGAAGAATGCGGAGGACGGTGAGAAGGAGGAAACTTTTTTGATCGTTAGGGATGATATTTAAGGATAAGGAATCGTGAGTCAATCACCCCTATCTTGAAGAGGACTTGTATTTAATGAATTTGATTTGCTTTATTCATTTGGGTGGTAAGTGAGTTCCTCTACCTACCAGTAGCGGCGTCCCAGAGCCGCACCGTCTGATCCCTTGATCCAGAGACGACCTGCTTACCGTTAGGTGAGAAGGCCACGGAGGTGACGGAGGAAGAATGGCCCTCAAGCGTCTGCAGCGCCGCACTCTAATGCGCTTGCACTCTAGGCTTTCTTTGGATCCAAGGGGGAATATAATTTTCAAATTTCTTTCGAACAATGCTCTTTTCTGGGGAGAAGACAAGTGCTGAATAATATAATTAAAGGGGCGCCTGTTCAATGACTAATCGGCTATATAAAGCAAATCGCTTTGCATCATGGATAAATGCGTGCAAATTGGGGCTTTCAGTAGCCTAAGGACAAGTTAGACTCTTATAAATAATAGATAGATAGCTTACCGGAATGTGAGCCTCTTAAGGACAATATTACTTGAATCCCTTCTGACGTCTTGCCCATCCACCCAAGCGCCTCAAGCCAGTGTAGTAGATGAGCCTGCAGAAATCGGTGGGCTTTCTCGCCGTCGTAAGCCTGAGAGCTACTCCTTTGAAGATGCTGAACCCAGTAGAGGCATGCGTATTAAACTTCGGGCGGAAGGCATTTCTCAATCCAACTGCTCTCAACATGGCGGGCTTGACTACCAGGAGCATGCATTTCGCAAATGTCCTTCTTGAGTGTCTGGGACATTAGCTATATGCAGCCAGCAGCTAATATCTGGTGTGCCCCCTTCTCATCCACCCAGAAATCCCCACATCGATCTTTGTTGAGGAGGAAGTCGCGAAATGAAGGGTGGTATAGGCGGAGCGGGCGAGTCGGGTCCTCTGGAATATCAAGGATCGCATAAAGGTCCTCAAATGTCTGGTCGACATCTTCCCTTGGAAGGTGCAATAGCCTGCTCAATGAAGACGTAGAAAGAGGTGAGAGCAATACCACTGTACTTCCAAGCGTGTGCTTTAACATACCGCATGCCTCTTCTTTCTCTTCCTCCAAATAGCCCGAGGAGATCGAGTGCTCGAGGACAGCAAGGTAGATCTCACTGAGGTGCTTCTCTGGTGCGGTAATAGCGTTGCTGCTGCTCTTAAGAATTGTATCCAACCTCTTGCGTGTGAATCGCTTCCCTTCGCGGATAAAACGACAAGCCGTTTCCGCCCAAATGAAGAGGCCACAAGCGTCTAGAACTAGCTTTCTCAGAACCACTTTGCCTGGCCAGTCTGCTCCAAGAGTCCACTGTCATCAATCCAACCTTTGTCGCTGCAATTATGCCGTCTATTGTATCAGACATCCTTGCTCTAATAGCTCCAAATCCTACCTATACTTTGCTGAAGAAGTTCAACGTACCGACGGGACACGGTCTCAGAGCTGCTGTCGCAGTAACATTTGAGACTAGCAAGACTATAACATCACTTTATACTTTGTTGTTGAAAACGATTGGCCTTGAAATCTGGTATATGGTTGTGCTTCTTGTCGTCGCTCTCTCTGCCAAGAAAGTCCGATCACATAACGTCTCCATTGTTGTTATTGTCTGGAACGCGCAAAGTTCACCTCTAGACATCATCAAACTGATGTTCGGCTACGTCACACACACTCCCCAGTATGCCTTGATGTGGATAGCTCTAGCCGCCCTTGCTTGGGCTTCTTCTACTGCCCTTTCGCTCCTGGCCACGAGAGATTTGATCATCAACTTGTCAGCGCCTCTGACAGGTAGCTCTATTTACGTGCCGGACGACTCTCTTGAGGATTAGGCTCTTATGCTCTCCGACTCAATCAGATCACTACACCTGCGAACCTTAGAGCGATCGGTGCTGCCGACAACTTGACGGCAAACGCCAATGTGAGCGTGAGCGCATCTAGCCCCACAACCGATGCCTCTGGTAATATATTCTACACTGTGGACTATGGCTACACCATTTCAGATGTCGATTTTGGGCTGCAAAATGCATCAGGGCTTCTCCTGTCAGTGACGGGCTCTTGTTTCACGGATTATACCTGGTACAATGGAACTTATAATGAATCAGGCACATTGGAGGACAATTATCTATTATTTGGATCGCAAAATCCCTCTGATTCCCTGGCCGTATCGATAGCAGATGGCGGCCCACCATTAGCCTTCTTCCTTCTCCCTCCGGAAGGTCCAATTGGTAGCAATGCTAGCTACGCGATTATCATATCGTCTTTGTATAGAAAGAGCTTTACCGAAGGAATAGATCCATGGTACGCGACCATGCCACTCCCTGGAGATCGGTATGGGGCTGAATACCAAGTAGCTCCGGGGAGGCCAGTGCTCAACTGTTGGGAAAATGATATCTGGTCCTATCAAGGAAATAGCAGCTCGACCGCCGACTTAGAATACCTTGGGGCCTTACCTCTATCCTTGGCAACATTATTTCAGCGCTTCCTAAGCGCACCTCGAATCATCAATCTCGGGCAAGCTCTTGGCACCACCGCTTTGAAGTCCGCAACCGGCACTCAAGGCTATTACTTTGACGCGCAATCATCAAGCCTACATAACGGTAGGTCTTATCTCGTAATATTCACCTTCTTCCTCTGAAGGCCGAGAGCTTAGGAGACACTTTTAGAGCCACTATTCCCGTATCTCCACATGTTTTGGGACTTTGAAGCTCTCGATTCTCCTGGAACTGTCTCAATTTACGTGCTAACTCGTTGGGCAGATCTCGAACGTCTCGTCCTAGGCGCTTACCAAGCAACGAAGAACACTTTGCAAGAGTTAACACAGTTCAGCACACAGTATTCTGACATCGGAAATATTATGCTCAACAACGATAGCATGCTCCTTCCCGGAGCAGACCTGTTTGTCATCTACACTCCAGACGCTGCTGCACTCTCGCTCGCAATGGTCATTGCTGTTCCGATAATTGCAGCCTTGCTTCTAGGCATCAACCTTTTACTCACCACTAATTATTTTCCTTGGGGATATGTGAATTCATTGAAAGCTGCAGTCATCTACAGTGCACTGGACGAGAAAGATACAAATACTAGTCGCTGGGACCGAAGCTCGACAGCGCCGGTCTACAAAGACCACGGTGATGTTGAAGGAGCTGTACAGACAGCACTTGTGCGGCCTGGACTTGACCGTAAAAGAAGGACTCTTAGTTAGCTTGCGGCACATGAAAACAAACCTACGTAAGCCTAGACATTTACTTCCGGTGAAACAGCTGTGAGAGAATGTTGTGGCTGACGATTGACGCTCTCAGGCCGAGCCCTTTCACTGATACTGTGCCTCCGGCTAAGACGCCAAAGGTTGACGAAATGCCGGTCGAGGTACCTCCTTCATAAGCGACAGCACTTTGCAGAATTGGTGGATTTCAAACTCTCGTTTGAACTGTTCACCAGATGTGGCACTTCTGGCTTCCTTTGCCTTGAAAATTTTCTGACTCTGTGTTTTCGTGTGGCGATGAGGAGGATGTTGGGCGTATGGTAAATTGAAATGTCCGGTTTCCTATTAAGTGGGGTCGATGACCAGATGGACTACGGATAAAAATTCTCATTGGTCGTTTCATTTCTACGGGTCTCTCTTCGCTCGTTGCACCACTCCAGCTCATGTCTCTGTCGAAGATTGAAGTTATACTTAATGATACAACTTTCTCAAGCTTAACAACCTCAAGTTCTCCTCTTAACGAATGTGACATCGATCCAGTACTGCACCGAAGCTTTTATAACCTTTGCCTGCTTTCCTAGACGATTTGGAAAGATCTTAGGCAACATTCTCACTTGGGCGTAAGGTTACAGCACTGAGACTCGAAATGTGACACAGTCAGGGATTGAACAGAGCAATGGATCTACTCGGGAGCATGTTTGGAATGGCCAATGTCCCCGTTCAACCCATACTTTTCAGTTGCAAGAGCTCATCTCGCCTGGCAATGAAGACGGACATTCTTAGTGATTCAACTCGATGCTACTCCTCAATTCACAATTCGGACATTTCGAATTTGAAAAGGCTCATTCAGCGTCAAAGTGAAAACAGATGTTCTCAGCAGAAAAAATCGATTCCTTACGCGCAGACAGGATCGCGAGCGGTGCGACTCCAAACAATCAGCGCAAGAGAACTAGTGAAGCTACTTGCTAAGGCGAACAGGTTTAGGTATCAAGAGACGGACATCGTCGACGACGAAAGTGGTGCCCGTCCTGTCCAGGGAGGCAATGCAAATTCACGATCGAAGCCCGACGCAATCGGAACCCAAAGGGACCGGGTGCGACTGCTGGCCAGTGTCGCCCTCACTCCACAGCTTTATCTCAACCACTCTCCCTCGAAAAACCTCGAACCCAAATCGTATGAACACAGCCCCAGTCCTGCGAGGCGAGCCTCTCTCGGCAAACACACATCTCAATGCCCAAGGGCCGGCTCCTTCCGGGAAGGAAGGTGGCTATAGCATTCAGAGCATATAGGGTGTTACGGGTATACAAGATAAGGCATTAACAGCTACAGGGACTACTGGGAAACAGGACAAAGGGAGTGCTCAAGGACCGGATCCGGACCGCGGGTCACAGCTCCTATTGCGAGGTCTCGCAGTGTCTTAAAGAGAACGTGGGCACAAGACATGGAAGGCAGGGTGCAGAGCCAACGTCCTAGAAAGCTAGTTCGGGCGTCGGCTGGAAAGTCATCTCTATCGATTTCTGCCCAGCCTCTCGAGCTTATAGTCATCTCTGTCGATTTCTGCCCAGCCTCTCGAGCTTGTAGTCATCTCTGACTCGGAACCAAAACTTGAAGACAATGCTGGCGTGCGAGGATGACGCATAAGGCTCATGTGAGTGAGCATGCGGAGGATGCCATCTGCGGAGGGCCGCTCGAGGACGGCAGACAGGACGTCGAACGGCACCCTCTTATTGATGTAGGCCCCGTTATACACCGCCGAGTTCGAGTTATATCTTATAACCTGATCTCGAGCCGCATCCGTGGTATTACCTAAGAAAAGCCCTGTTAGCAAAATGGTGGATCCTCGAGATATTACGGAAGACTTACGATTAATAATATTCGCCGTCCCATATCGGAAGCAGTAGCAGGTCAGTATTAGCAGGAAGCCCACTATACGCCCAAGACAGACTAAGCAGTCCCTAAATTAAGAGTAGGTAAGCGCCAGTATCGGAGAGGTAATTATACTGTCTACTATCCGCTTATCTTAACGGAAGATTAGAGTCTTGAGTATCTCTTACTTCTAGTTTAATAGCGTTATATAACCGGGCCCTATACCTTCTGCTTAAAGACCTGCTCTACCGTAATCAGGCTCGGCACTTCGAAGGCCCTATCTGTAATGGCCAAGGAGATAAGGTGGGTAATAGGACAGAAGATCGGGTCGTCTATTTTAGTAAAGAAGAAGATTATACTATAATAATCTATTAGTTCGCTTTCGGAATACAGATTTGGTAGGTGGTTTTATTGACTTATTACTTCGGTTTTCTGTTAGCCCCCTTATAGTAAGCCAACTTAACCTCTATAGCAAGTATATCCCGCTTTCCGGCTATAGGGTTCCGTATAACCAGAAAGCGGACATCTTCGTAGCAGAGCGTATTAAATAGTTAATGTTCTATTTAGTTATTGCTTATAGCTATATTATTATTAGAGCCATTATTATTATTCTTGAAGCCTAAGTCAGTAATAGTACTATTATAGTCATTATTGCTATTAAAGGTAAAGTCGGCTTTAGTGCTAGCTTTAGTATTATTAAAGCCCTTGTCGTCCGTATTATTAGTGCAAGTTTTATTATCGTTAAGGCCAGGAATCCGCTTCTTCTTCTTCTTCTTCTTTGCATTAACCAGCTCCGCAGGTCGGCATCCAGTAGTAAAGAGGAGAAGCAGGATTAGTGCGAATTGTACGCAGTACCGCTCCGTCGGGAAGGTAGAAGTGTCGCATATCCAGTAATAGTTGAGTAAGAGATAGAGGTCGTCGATGCCGAGGACGGGCTTCTCCCTGATCATAATATCGAGTTCAAAGTCCGTAGTCAACTTACCGTAGATATACTAAACCCACGTTAGTATCCGTATATTAGGAAGATAATTATTAAATAGAACGGGCCCCTACTGCGAGAGCCTCTTTGGCGTTATTAGTATTCATGTGGCGGCCGTTCTCCTAATTATAGAGCATTTTGAGCTGCAGATAATATTGGTAGACCAAACTCCTTCTTCTTTACCCGATCTACCTTGCAGATATGAATGAGGAATACTATTGTAGTCCCCTTGGAACAGGTCCGGATCACAGTACGCCAGTCCTCACCCATATAAGTACAAAACCTAGATCAGAAGTCAGACCAACTAGCTACTTGAGGTCTTCGATCAAGTGTTTATTATCTTACCTGCTGAACTTGTTAACGATGCCTTGGAGGTTGTCTTTAGTAGTACCGGCATAATTGTGTTTTACGGTCGTATTATCGTATTCGTTAATCAGATTCTTGTAATATTCGGGAGGATGTTGGATCTTCGGTTTGGGATAACGACGTTCAATACCGTTATTCAGGCGTGCGAGATTCGGCGGCGAGGTTTGAGGCAGTTGTGCATTGGCCTTGGAATAGTTTCTTGCGACCATGGCGAAGGCAGGATCGTTCGGTCTTGGGGTGCGGTAGTCCAGAGCTGGATATCGTGCGGGGGTGCTGAGTTGGGAGGTGGGAAGATGAGGATGAGGATGAGGATGCGGATGCGGATGGGGAGGGCAAGTATATGAGCACGAACGGTGGGCAGTGCCATGGTGACTGACAAGATGGGGAGCCATCCCCCTCCCCCCAGTTTCCGGGGGGGGGATAGAAGCAGAAAGTCGACAATTGGAACAGAGAAACAGAAAGGGTCGACTTTGGAGTTCGAGCATCTTTCGCTACGACGATTACCGGTAGCCGGGGGTGCCCCAGCGAGCCGCAACACGTGATGAGTTTTCGGGGGCCAGAGGCTGCTTAAACCAGCGGCCACACCTCCCCCAATCCGGCAGCACCAGAATTCCGCGTAAAAAATCGAAGCCACGTCCAAGCCACAGACAGTCGCGTGCCAGCTGCTCGGGATGCGGATATGCAACAGAATTGATGAAATTTCTCGCGTGACAATGTATTAAGTCGGACGAACTTCTAATTTCCTGCGTATCGTGGTCGGTGACGATTGATTTTTGTGCGGAGGATAAATACAAGTTCTTGAGAATAGATGCTCTACCTGATATTACCGGAAGAACTCTGTAGTATAGTGTGCAATACGGAACCCAATATTGTATTGTTTGTATCCCACTAATCTTGAAGAGTGTCTGTTTGCCGCTAATATTACTGACGACCTCACTCGATGCCAACCTCCATTTGCGAGTCTGGTTCAGATAACAGTCGAGAGACAGAGGCCTCTAGCTCTTCATTAATGTCGATCTCCTTCTCCGGAATCAAAAGCAGCATGTTGCTTCCGTTGGCGATTGCAGTTTGGAAACACATTTGTGGGGTCGGAATATGTTAAAAATGTAGGTAGAGCATAAATTGGATCCTGAGCAATGGTGGGAGCAAGGCTCCCTTATATATACAGAATGTGGAGATGATGCCTGAGGTTTCAACATTCCGCGCGACCTGGCCGACTTGTGAGAACACGTAGTCATGTGGTTTCGTGGCAGACGCTAAACCGCTCTAGGCGAGGCTTGGCAATGGTCTGCTGGTGGGCGCAGCAATCGGCCCCCAAAACCCGTCAGCGCACCTCCTGCGGCCGGGGTTAGTTTTCCCTTTCACTGGACGCGCGCTGCGCACGCCGATGCCCTGAAACCAGCTGATCAGGGTGCACACGTGATTCGCACTGGACTAAAATCAGCTGACTTGGAGGCACAAGATTTGTGATTTGTGAAACCGCTTATCCAGCCAATGAGAACCCGTGTTGCCAACACCCAACACTAGGGGGCATTAAGTCTGTGATCACGTGGATACACTCCATGCAAACCAACCTATTCGGGCAATACGGGCACGAATGAGGGCGAGCCGCTGGCCACCAAATTCGGACGTTCACAGCAGCCAGTCAGCATCAGGCTTGGCGAGGAGATCACTGGTGGGAAACCCCGCATTTTCGGACCCCTGCCCTCGCGCGCTGGTTGGTTGTCCCTTCCTCTCGTTCCTCGTTTCAGGGCAATCCCTTCCATGGTAACGCGTGCTCCGCACGCCGACGCCCTGAAACCTATCGTCCTTCCGAAAAAAGCAGCAGAAATCTATGGTTATTGCTTGATCACAGCAGGATATGAGTGAGACTTGACGCAAAACAATATTGAAACTATCAAAATGATAAGAGAGCGTGATGTTGACCCTGCTTAAGGGCAATGCAAGTCTGGAGAGAGTGAAGAAAGTTAAATGCTGACTCCGCCTATTCTCCCGGACATGTGGAACCTCCCTAACGAGTCATTCAGTCTGTCGTCAATTTCTTAGTCGTGAATTGGCCCTTATTAGCTACTAATCACCTCATCCGATTCGCACCCTTCTTTTAAGTAATGTTTTTTGCCCTGGCTCCTTTCTCGAGCAGTGTAACAACAATTGCCTCGTGACCCATAGCGGAAGCTGCTTGGAGTGCATTGCCATATCGTCCGCCCTGGGCATTCACATCGGCCCCTTTCTTAAGCAGTAGTGCCACAACTGCTTCGTGGCCTCTCTCTGAAGCTGCTTGTAGTGCATTGCCATAGAATCCGCCCTGGGCATTCACATCGGCCCCTTTCTCGAGCAGCAGTGTAACAACTGCCTCGTGACCCTTTTTAGAAGCTGCTTCGAGCGCATTGCCGAAGCGTCCGCCCTGGACATTCACATCGGCTCCTTCGTCGAGTAGCAGCGTAACAACTGCCTCGTAACCCTTTTTAGAAGCTGCTTCGAGCGTATTGCCGAAGCGTCCGCCCTGGACATTCACATTAGCTCCTTTTTCGAGCAGTAGTAAAATAACTGCCTCATAACCCTAATAGGAAGCGGCTTGGAGTGTATTGCCGTAGTGTCCGCCCTGGGCATTCACATTGGCCCCTTTCTCGAGTAGTAGTGTAATAACTGCCCCGTAACCCCGAGCTAAAGCTGCTTGGAGTGTATTGCCATACTATCCGCCCTAGGCATTTATATTGACCCCTTGCTTGAGTAGTAATGTGATAACTGCCCCGTAACCTCTATAGGAAGCTGCTTCGAGCGTATTGCCGAAGCATCCGCCCTGGATATTTATATTGGCTCCTTTTTCGAGCAGTAGTATAATAACTGCCTCGTAACCCTAATAGGAAGCGGCTTGGAGTGTATTGCTATAGTATTCGCCCTGGGCATTTACATTGGCCCCTTGCTTAAGCAATAGTATAATAACTGCCCCGTAATCTAAAGCTAAAGCTACTTGGAATATATTACTATAGTCTCTACCTTAGGCATTTATATTAGCCCCTTACTCGAGCAGTAATATAATAACTGCCTTGTAATTCTTTTTAGAAGCTGCTTAGAGTATATTACTATAGTATCTGCCCTGGATATTTATATTAGCCCTTTACTCGAATAGTAGTATAATAACTGCCCCGTAATCCTAATAGGAAGCGGCTTGAAGTATATTGCTATAGTATTTACTCTGGGTATTTATATTAGCTCCTTTATTAAATAGTAGCGTAATAACTATCCCGTAACCTTTATAGGAAGCTGCTTTAAATATACTACTAAAGATTTCACCTTAAGTATTTATATTAGCCCCTTTATTAAGTAATAGGCTAAGTGGCTTAAATAATTCTTCCTAAGATATATAGTATATTAGAGAGGCAATATTTATAGTATTTCTTTCTATATTAGATTCTTTCTATAGCTTATCTAGGTTAAAGAGCCAAATTCAATTCTTAAAAGCATTTCCTTAGAAAAGTTATAGGATTACTTCTAATAATTAGTTAGTTTAGATTAAGAATAAGCTTTATAATAACTCTAATATTTACTAGATAGAGAACCTTAAGATTATTTATATTTCCGGTTATATAAATAGCTATATTATTATACTAATCTCTCCTTACCTAAATTAGGATAATTAATATATATATAAGACTATTAGAGAACTATATATTTATCTAGAGAAACTATATAATAACTCTAATAAGAAATATAATATTTAGTAAGCCTTTAAGAAGCTATTTATAAAAAAGAACTAGACTTTTTAGGAATTCTATATTCTATTCCTAAAGTATATAATAAACAGAAATATTAATTTATAGAACTTTAAGAATAACCTAAATAATAAGCTTACTTAAAAGCTTTAAGAGACTATAGCTATATATTATAATAATCCGGCTATTTATATTATAGAGTTTATATAATACTATACTATAAATAACTAGTAAATCCGAGCTTATTATAAAAAGAAAAACTAGATATCTAAGAAAGCTAATAAAGATATAAATAAGCCAAGCTTAGAAAATGCCTCTTATATAAAGCCTGCTTCTAAAACCCTAGTAATAAATAAGTTTATTACTTTAAAGCCCGGATTTTTAGATCTTAAATATTATAATTATAATAGATTTAGTTATATATCTAAGAATTATCTAAAGCTTAAGATAAAATATATAAAGTAAGTCTTAGTAGCCAAGCTAGTAGTACTTATTATAAGTAAGCTATTTAAGAATATAAAATAGAGAAATAAGAATTCCTAAAAGAAGTTTTCTCTTTAGGGCTATATTATATAAATATAATAGAAGTTAATTTAAGATAGCTATTAGAAAATAAAGTATTTATTTTCCCTTATATAATTAGTAATAATAAATTAGATATTAAGACTTCTTTTCTTATTAATACTAAAATAAATAAATATACTTTTATTAATTTCAAATTTATAAAAATAATTAAATAATTTCTAGATATTAAGCCTATTTAATTAGTATTACTTTATAATATAAGAGAATTTAATAATAAATAAGTTATATTTATTACTTACTATATTAAGCTTATATTCTTAATTAATAAATAGAAGATTCTAGTACTTATACTAGTTATAGGACTAGATAAGTATAATATAATTTTAGGATAATAGTAGTTTATAAATACTAGTATCCTAATTAATTATAAGAATAAAAGATTAATTTAGCTAGATAATTAGCCTAGAAAAAAAGTTAGAATAAGGTTCTAATTATTATATATAAGAACTTGAAACCTGGAAAAAGTAATTAGTATTAAGAAAATATAAATAGAAGAAATAAAGCTATAGTTATAAATGAGTTCTAGAGACTTTAGCTTATAAAAAGAAAACTCTCTTATTCTTTTCCTAAGCCGGGCTTAGAAAGCCATATATAATAAAAGAATTAAGCTTAATACTATAAAGAAATATAAGTAGCTTTAGGAAATATAGAAGTTTCTCTTAAGCCAGAAATAGAAATATTAAAATTATACTATCTAAAAAAAAGCTATAAGATCTAGTTAAGGCCTATAATTAATATTATAAGTATCTTGCCGGCCGCTTTCTAAATAAATCTATAAAAGAAAGAAAATCTTTTTTTTATAATATTATTTTTCGAGATTAATAAAGAACTAGAATTATAGTAAGAGAATAAGTTTATTCCGAATAAGTAATAGCTAGGAAAAACGGAGCTATAATAGCTAGTAAGAGTTTTACTAGAGGAATTTAAGGATTTTGCAAATATTTTCTTAAAAAAAGCATTAAATATTTTATTCCTATATTAATTATATAATTATAAGATTTAGATTAATAACTCCAAAGGCCTAAAAAGCCTAGGGTATTTCCTGCTTTATTAATAATTAATTTATAAGCTATAGGAAATCAAGTATTTTCTTAAAAAGAACCTCTAATAAGGCTTTATTAAATTAAGCTAGTTCTCTTTTATATTCCTAATTCTTTTTATAAAGAAAGCTAATAAAGCTCTCTAATTCTATATTAATTATTATAAGCTTAATAACTTAATATAGAAGAATTATTACTTTCTTTTCCTTATTTATAAGACTTTTATATAGCTAGCTTAAGCTAAGGTTTATATAAAGCTAGATATTTAGTAAGTATTTTATTAAATCCAAATAAATCCAGAATTAAAAGAACTTATAATATTTCATATAAAATATAAGACTTATAAGTATAAAGTTCTTTAAAAAGACCTAACTAATAGCCTTATTATATATTAGAGGTATATAAATAATATTTTCTTTAATTACTTTAATATCTTTTATATAGCTTATTTAAATAATATCCTAATTTACTTAGATAATTTCCTGAAATATAAAGATTATATATAAAAGATCTTTTAGTAATTATAAGATATTAGCCTCTAAGTAAATATTAAGAAATTAGAGTTTAAAATTATTTATATAAAGTATCTAGGCTTTATTATCTTTACTAGAAGTATTAAAATAGATCTAGATAAAATAGTAATTATTAAGAACTAGTAATTACTAAAGATAATTAAAGAAATATAAAGCTTTCTAGGTTTTTATAACTTTTATTAATATTTTATTACGAAATACAGCCATATAGTAAAGCCCCTAATAGCTTTAATATATAAGGAAGTTCTATTTAAATAAATAAATTAGTATTAAAAAGGTTTTACTAAACTAAAATAAGCTATATTCTCGGTACTAATTCTATATTATTATAATCCGAATCTCTTTATTATAATTAAAACAGATATATTAAATAAAATTATAATTAGTATTCTCTTATAATAAGATCCCTAGATAAAATTCTAGTATCCGATAGTATTTTTCTTTAAGACTATATAGTTAGTAAAGCTAAACTATAATATTTATAATAAAGAAATACTTATTATTATTTTCTTTTTAACTAAATAGTAAGCGGAGCTAGAAGGCCTATAAGAGGTATTCTTTATAATTTACTTAGATTACTAAACTCTTAAATATTTTATAACTATAAAAAAGCTTTTAGTAAAATAAGCTTACTAGGTAAAATATCTTTTCTATTATTATTTTAAGCTTATATATTAGATAAGTAAATTAAATAAATAAATATATATTCTAAATAGGAAGTATAAGGATATAATTATCTAGAATAAGATAATAATAGCCTACTAAACCCAAATTCTTCTCTTATAATAAAAGATTAATAATAATATTATATAAGATCTCTAATTAGCTCTAATTAAGGCCTTTATAAACCTGGCTTAAAAAGAAACCTAGTATAATAATATCTAGCTAATAAATAAGCTATTAAGTAAAAACCGAGAATTACTAGAGCTAGAAAAGCTATAGAATAAGGCAAGAAATAAAAAGAAAAGTACTCGAATATTATAAGATAGCCTCTTCTTATAATATAATAAACTATTTATATTTAATAATATAATAATACCCGAGATATCCTTATATATTACTCTTATTTAGAAGGTATATATATAGCCTCTAATAGGATATCTAGAATAAGCCAAGCTTTAATAGCTTTTTTAGGCCCGCTATTACTAGCTAGGCTAAGATATAAATATTAATTAATATAGAAATAACTATTATATTTACTAATAATCCTATATTTCTAAAAATAAGAAGCCAAGGCTCTTATATTTATTACTAGTTCCTAACTACTTCTAGTAATATATATTAGTAAATTTCAAGAAATATTTAGAAAGTAAAAATAAGTATAATATAATAGTAATTTTTATTAATTATTTAAGTAAGTACCCTATTATAATTTCTGTTTGAGATATAATAATAACTAAAGAGTTAGTATTCTTATTTCTTACTTATATAGTTTACTAAATTAGTATTCCGGAAACTATAATATTTAATTAAGGCCCCTAGTTTATATTAGATTTCTGGAGCGAGTTCTATAAATATATTAATATAAAGCTTAAGTTATTAATAGCTAACTATTCCTAAACTAATAGCTAGATAAAGATTATTAACTAGTACTTTAATTAATAGTTATATTCCTATATAAATTACTACTAGGATAATTAGATAATAATAATTAATTAATTATTAGTA